GGTGTAGGACTGCCCAGGTCTGCGGCTGTCACAGAATCAAGATTTGTCGCGTGTTTGGCCTTCGATTTCAGGACTCTCGGTGGAAAACTAAAACTGTAATTAGCGGCAGTGGGCGAGGGGAATGCGATGAGCTGCCAAAACATATCTGAGAAACCTTAACACAAATTGAAAAGGACAATGTATTCAGGAATAGTATTACAAGAGCTACGATTTTGATTTCTTAAATGTTTATATATCAGACTTATCGATAGTATCTTCTTAATATATAAAATCGATGGAAAAAATGTTCCTTTTAATATAAAACCATCTCCACTCCTGTCACTCCTCCCACTCCCTGACAGTCTTCAGCTTCCAAGGACCAAGCGGCGGCATCGAGTGTAAATCAATATGCTTGTCGGCTCTTAAACTAATTAAAACATCTTGCGGATTGTGGCCGTCGTCAAAGCTTTTGTCTTCACTCTAATTTGTCCTGAATCGCACAAAGCGACCGTAACAGGATGCCCGAGACCCTGGCTTAGGTAGAGTTCTCTCTCACTCGTTATAGAAGGTCCTGGGGCCGGAACTAAAAGCCAACAATGGAATAAAAAACATGTCATAAACTAACAGGGCAAGGACTCCATGCTGCGGCATTGTCCATCCCATGTCGGGCTGGATTTATGACAGCCCCTGAAATGAATTGAACCCGAACTGAATGCTCCGTGTCTGTCGCTGTCTGGAAAGCCATGGACTGCCATATAATTAGGCTCCCCTAGCCAGGATTTGAGGAATTTTTTTAATTGAATTAAAGCTTGCGCGAGGAGCGGCGCGGCGTTCCCATGCACAGCGTATGCATTTGCTTTATTACCTTAGGCGCCGCTATCAATATCCTTGAACGCAACGGGTTGTCCTGCCCCGAACCATTGCGAGCCTCGCCCCTAGGGCCTCGGGGTCTCTAATTGCAGGACTTGCTGGGCCATATTTTCGCTTTCCATGCAATTAAATCGCCTATCGCCAACGAGAACCAGCTCAAACAAAGTGCATTCCATGGCATCGGCTTTTCAATCAATTTGATTGAATCGCATGACAAACAGGCGGCACTGGGATAATTATAGTCCTGTCGCTGGCAAAATGATTATGTCATGCCATAGTGGCGACTTGTAGGCAGATCGTTCGAGCTGATTTCAGGTGACCCCCCATTGTTAGAGATAACGAATGGATAACGTTGATGAATCTGAATAATATTTTCCTTTTTTTTTTTATAAATATGTGTATAAGGTTAAATTTGGAGTCAAGACCGATCTTCTCCGTTTTTCCCTTGGAAAGATACTTCCCATTTTAATTCCTTAATAGGAATTAATAAATACTTCCCATTTTAATTCCTATTAATAGGAACGAAAAAAGAATGACTTATTATCTCTAACCGATATATGTATATGCCTATATTAAACTAATTTTATTCAAAGAAGACTTGATCTTAGAGACTAGACTAACAGACATTACTGATTTAAGCTCAGAACTTACTCAATCTAAGATAGATCTATAAATATTTCTGGATCCTATTAATTACCTTGCTATAAATTTCGCCTGTATGGTCAGTCGGATGTCTTGGAAACCATTTGTCCCACTGCAGACCCCAAAATCCAGTCCCAAAATCGGAAGTATGAATAAACCAACAATATATACTTATGCCGCTGTGTAATATCAAGTCGAACTGCAACAATCCAACAAGCCTGCCTAACCAACCACCGCCCAAAGCCCATCGCCACCGCCCCCTTGTACAAGTTGCAAACAGTTTTATTAAGCTGCTGAAGCTCTTGTGTGTTAAAAGTCAATTTTCCAATTTGCAAACTGTCAGAAACATTCGAAAAGCAATTTCTGCCACACAGCGAGTGAAAGAGAGGGTCGTTTCTAGTCGAAAGAGAAGCGGAAAAGGACAGAGAGAGAGAGAGCACGAGCGAGCACATTGCGTATACGCCTTGTATGCTGTGTGAGTTACTTCTACATCTATGTGGGACCATTCTTTCCTCGTTTTTCCTTTTTTTTTATTTGGGTGGAACGACACTTTGCGGCAGAAGTTTTCCAATAAAACGGCAAAACTTTGCTGCGAACAAAATTAAAGAAGACGACAAGGAAAATGGTAGAATGACATAGCCAGTGGAAGAGCGAGATGATGATGTTAAACAGGGTTTCCACGGGGTGGTTGTGGGATGATCATCATCATCATCGTCATGGTGGTGGTGCTAGTGCGGGGGGTCGCAAATTGTTTGCTGCCAATGTGAAGTTTATGAAAAAGATTAAAGTTGAAAAGTGGTTGCCTGATGGGGCACTGGGCCGTGGGTGGGGTGTGTTCTTGTGGTGAGTCGCGTGCTCCACATGAATGCCAAATTGCTGCAGGCCTGCTCGATAGGGGGTGGCCTGGGTGGAGTGGTTGGAATGGGCTGAAATGGTGGGTGGTGGGTGGTTTGAGGCCAGAGCCGGCTAAATGTAGCAAAATTGAAAATGGCTGAAAATGGGGAGATGCCGGGTGCCTTGTATACGTATGTGTGAGTGGGTCTGTTTGTATTTGTGTCTACGGGGTGGAAAATTGAGTTTGGTCCATGTCATGGCGAATGGGGGAGGCGGGACTGGGGTTCCCGGGCATCAACAACCAAAGATGAAAGCAGACAATTTTGCCAACTTTCGGGTGGATGAGAGTGTTGTGGTGTGGGAGGGTCGAAGGTCATTATGATGTTTGTGGGCGTGCCACCCGCCAGCTGTCCAAGAGAAGAAAAGCTTTCTCCAGTGCTCTGTCACGCTCTCTCTCTCTTTTACTCTGTTTTCCCTAGTGGGGGATTTTCATTATGGCGCGCCATGAATGGAAATTACCAAATTGATTTTGATGATTTAATTAAAATGAAGAAGCACAAACTCAAATTATAACAGCCAGCAAACTCTGTCTCTTTCTTTCCAACTGCCTCTAGCTCGCTCTTTCTATCAAGCATCTGGGAGGGTGTGTACGTGTGTGTGTGCGTGTGTGGCAGGCAGCATGAGGAGTCGAATGTGGCCTAAAGCTGCTAACTTTAATTTATTTTCTTCGTACAGATTTGAGAGACAGGAAATTAGACTTTCTAAATGGGATTCCAGCCTGATGAAGCAAGGGAAGCTGAAGCCAGCCAAAGGGAAGGGAAGCCGATTTAGCCATTTTATTATTGTTGTCTGTCTACTCTACTAATTGGAATCCGACAGATAGTCGAAGATAATCAAGGAATATCTCTAATTGGAACGGATTTGATTGCCTCTAGTTTAGATTGAAATGAGCTTTCGATAGTTATAAAATAAATAACATCTAAAGGAGTTTTAATTACAAATTTTAATAAACGTTATCTAGAAGATATTTTGGACAGTTCAGCCTTAAGTAACTATTTAATTTCCTTATGGGTAAACCTCTATTACAAGTTAATATATATTTAAATGGCAGATATTTTTAAAAGATAGTTATTTCAAGTGTAAAGTTTGTTTTAATAATCTCATAACTATGCCAAAAATTCATTAATTTTAATTCGGAAAGCGTTTCTATGCTAGTTTTGATAAGTCTAATAAATCTGCATACCTAATTTACAATTTTAAAACATCAAAATTTTTGCCAATTTTTGGCAATTTTAATGATGTAACCCCTTATAAAATTTTGAAATTTTGGAAAAATTTTGAAAATTTATTTTTTGACCGAACATGGCTAGATCTATTAAGCTGATAATGCTGATCAAGAATATATATGATTTATAGGGTCGGAAATGACTCCTTCACCGTTTTACAAGCTGCTGACTAAAACTGTAATACCCAGCCAGAATATAGAAAAGGATTCATTAATTTAAAAATTAGCAGTATTTTACGACTTGTTAGATATTTTATAACATCTCAGAAATATAAAATTATGTTATAATATGTTCATTTTATTTACCATTTATTATTTTTATTAACCTCTCCTTGGTGTTAGTATTATTTCGAAACCCCAAAACGTCAATGAATTTTCCTACAAATTTTAATGTCCTTACTTCCTTACCAAGGGTATTTTTAATTAACCCATTTTAAAAAGCATTTTCCGACTGGCAAATTTGTTTTGCAAATCACTTTTGGGGCAACGAAAATAATTTTACGCACCATTATCTTTAATTAAAGAGCCGCAGAGAGACCGAAACCAGAGCGCACGCATACACAAACACGCACACACAGGGTAGCTCGTATGTCCTTGCGGCAGGAGCAGCAACCAGCAACAACAACATTATTTCAGGGTAATGAAATTTCCATCAGAAATAATTTCTTATTAATTTGCGCAAATTGCATTTAATTACTTTGAGCGTGGCAGCGTCAGAAAGTGGGTTGGATGGCGAGGGGATGGATGGATGATGGGTGGCTAAGGGGGTGGTAATGGCCAACCCTGGGGCAATGGAAACTTTCCCTAGACGCCTCTGGGCTCCTCCACCGCTCCACCCTCCCTCCCTCCCCCTGACTAGCTCCGGCTCTGCCACTAATTAGACAGCCACACTCATACACACTCATTGTTTCGATAATTCTAATTAGAGCCAAGGCAACTAATTGAATTTTATTTTATTTCCTTCGTTACCTTGCGCTGTGTCTCTGTGTCTGTGTGGGCTGCTCAGCCATTTTGTTTGCCTGCCTGCTTGCCTGTGTGTGTGCGTGGGTATCTCTGCTCTCTGTGTATGTGTGTGTGAGTCGGAGTTTTCATTAACAATTTTGCGTTGGCCGCCATTTTGCTTTTTGTATGTATTTGTCTCTCTCTTTCTCTTTTGAAGCTCTTGGCCTTTCTCTTTGGCGCCACACACCTTCTGCTGGCGTTATTAAGCCCCATTCAGTTTTCTAATTACGCTTTGTGCCTTTCTTCGAAATGTTTTTCCTGCTCCTTGCAGGCCGCTTAGCGCCTGATTAAATTAGCGCGTTTCTTGTCAAGTGATTAATTTAATTGCCCAGCAACCCAATTAGCCCAGACACCGCTCTCACTCTAACATCTTCGTTTTATGTTCCAGGTGTGGTTCCAGAACCGCCGGGCCAAGTGGCGTCGCCAGGAGAAGTCGGAGAGCCTGCGTCTGGGTTTGACCCACTTCACCCAGCTGCCCCACCGACTGGGTTGCGGTGCATCCGGTTTGCCGGTGGATCCTTGGCTATCGCCGCCCCTGTTAAGCGCTCTGCCAGGTGAGAAGAACATCCTAGCAATCTATATTTCAGCAATAAATCTCTATTAATAATTTAACTCCATCTTTTCTCCTCAGGATTCCTGTCGCACCCGCAGACGGTTTACCCCAGCTATCTGACGCCACCGTTAAGCCTGGCACCCGCCAACCTGACCATGAGCAGCCTGGCGGCCATGGGCCACCATCACGCCCACAACGGTCCACCGCCGCCCCCACACGGTGGCCATGGGGGGCATGGTCAGCCACAGCCGCCGCCACCACCGCCCCCACCCCACGGAGTGCCCCACCCGCATGCCGGCCATCATGTGGTGCCGCTGTCGCACCTGTCGCCGCATCTGGCACGCATGTCACCGCATGCGACATCCCTGGGCTCGCCGCACCACGGAGTGAATCCCCTGAGCACGCCTCACCACAGCAGCCTGCCGCCAAGCTCGACGTCTACGAACGTTGCCGCTGCTGCTGCTGCTGCTACTGTGTCGTCCTCGCAGTCGTCCTCCTCCTCCGCCTCACTGGAGTGCAGCGGCCCGGACGTGTGCATGTCGCCGCAGAACCTGAGCATCGGAAATGCGGACTCGAATGGGGAGGGACGGGACCTTAGCAGTGACCTGGATGCCGGAAGCAGCAGCAGTAACCAGGGCACTGGCCTGGACAAGTGCGCGGCCAGCGCCAATATCGAGCTGCTGGATGTGGGTCGGGACAGTCCACCGCCACCGTCCACACCCAAGCTCTCTGCGACGCCGCCGGCGGACATGAGGAGCAACTCGATCGCCACGCTGCGGATTAAGGCCAAGGAGCACCTGGATAACCTCAACAAGGGCCTTGTCTCCATGGTCTAGTCGAAGACTCTGAGGCTGGCAGTTCCCGAGTCCTGAGTTCCGTTCCAATCAAAATCATTCCTCTCCCCCATATCATCTTCTAGGTGTGTTCTAAGTTTAGTGAATTTCGTGTTGTAAGAGTTTATTTCGGAGCCAGTTTCTTGTGTCGTTAACTCCACTCATGTGCAAAGTGTATTTGTAAAATTTCAATTACTTCAAAGACAAAAACGGCTGAAGAAGAAACCTATTCCTAAAGTATATTAGCACAAAATAAATATGACAAGTTTTAGCTCAACTACAGGGTGATTTATTTGGGAAATGGTGTTGATTAGAAGGGGAGTTAGAGAGAAGCTGAGATAGTTCTCGGACTCGTTCTAACTTGAAGGAAATTAGCATTTGTAACCTGGAAACTTTTAAATAAACGTAACAATATGACAACATTTTTTATAAATAAAATACATCATTAAATTATGTATACTCCTTTCTCAAAACTTTGATAAATCCCAGGAGACCTGTTCAATTAGCAGGGGAGCTAATCAGAGAGAAAAGTTTGGGGGGAAATAAAAGGCCATCAATAAACCAACTTGTCGGGCCAATTATGAGGGCTTATCAGCCCCATTGATCGGGTGCTTAATGACTTGATTAATAAGAAAATCGGGAGACATTGAGCAGAAAATGCTGACAAGCAGTAATTAAATGCAATTAAAAAGGACTAAATACACTGCAAACAAAGGACCTGCACGGAGAAGGGGTGAAACAGGTGCAGTAGCCGCAGTTGAATTTAATAAAGTAACGAATAAAATTATAATTGATTAACGCCGCGGGCAATTAAAATGCAAGCATGTTGCCCCCGACAGGGAGTCCTTTCACTAAAATACGTATATGTACCGACATGAAAGCATATCCCACATGAGCGTTACAATTTGCTCGAAGGACTCGGCGCAATGATAATTGCCCGCAATTACATCAGGGCGCTTATCACACGCACAACATCTAGCCGGAAAAATCTCACCCAAATGCATGCAAAGCACCAAACATGGGAAAGAAAACTCTGCATTTACAGTGAAATTGTCGAGGGAAATGGAAATGCTGGTCACTTAGCGTTGGACGAGCGTTTAGGGCCAGTTTAATGACAATTGCAACCCCGCAGGGCCAGCGATACGAGTTTACTATTGGTAGATTCAATGCAACAAACAACCAGGTCATTTAATAAAAATAAAAAGGTTTTAAAACTAATTTTAAATTGCTGGAAAAATCCAATTACTATTTATTTTTTTATTAGAACTCATTGAAATAAATTCAAAAAGGAATTACAAACTTACCAACTTTATAAACTCAACGAATGAAGGAGAAATAATGAAATGGCATGGCTAATGGTTTATAGCTAGTAGTTTATAAAATTGTATTTAAAAAATTATACCATACAATTTATTCAATGTATTTATTACTTTAAATGATATAAAGATATAATCGATGTAACAAATGTAAATGTAACAAATTTCAATTCTTAAGCTACCTACGTGATCTTTTTAGTGCAGAAACTTTTGATTTATTTGGTTCTAAAATTGTTTCTGACAAAAATGTCTTAATAGATAACATTTTCTCTACTTTTTTTAAAGTTTTTTATTTGTACTTTTAATTAATTTTAAAACTGCACACTGGCGCTATAAACAATTTAGTTTGCTATTGTTAGTTCACTTTTCGTCCGACTTTGGAATCAACCCCAGAAACAAATTTCTACATGGCGTTAAAATGGGCGCTGTAACTTTATTAAAAACTAGAAAATAATTATGTACTTTAATAATAATTTAAATATTTATAATTATAAAATCAATTTAAAAATCATATTCTATTTTATATACTGTAGTTTCAATTAAAATATAAATCAATTCGACAGAAAGAAGTAAGAATTCATGAATGCATCTTACATCCAATAGCGCCCGCTAGCGGCTAAAATGGACACCCTCTTGCCAAACTAGCCGTACAGATGGAGCCACATCACATTTCATGAGCGGGAAAATCAAAATTAAATCTTTAAATAGTTTAAATTAAATCAGTAGTAAATAAATGAGAGCCCCAACTTTAATAGTGTTCTTCCCCTCTGCTGTCAGCTGTCAGAATGTTAATTATCCGTATAGGGAAATGCATCCGGGGCATTGCACTTCCACTTCCACATCCACTTCGGGGCAAAAACTAATATACATTTATAGATCGCTCACTGATTGAGTGATGGGCACATTGAGAGATGGCCGAACCCACCCCAGAGATCGGGCTAAAAATGAATCATCTAGAGGAGCCCCAGAAATAGGTGCCAAGTGCTCGCCATATAAGGCATAAAAGCGATCGAGAGGGAATTCACATGTGTGCCGATGTTGAGGGTGAAGACTATGACGAACCAAAAATACACATTACAAATGAAATAAAAATGCGAATGTTCGGTCGCCGGCACAAGTGCAAGCCAAAGTCCAACTGAATTGAACTTGAATAAAGTGCTCGCAGGCAGCCAGACCGAAGAAGTCAAATCAAGAATCCTAAATGATGGGGCGAGGGTTCTTTTTGGGGGCAGTTTTTGGAGCAGACAGCGACAAGTGTTCCACGCCGAGAGAGCCTCTATAAATAGGAATTGTCAAAAACCACCGAGTCCGAGTCCAAGTCCAAGTGGATGAGACGATCGTGCTGCCTAGGGAAAGCGTTTCCCATGGCCATGCGTGGTCCGGTCCGAGCGGAAGCTGCATGGCATTGAGGCCAGAAAAGATACACACAGATCTTTCCTCCCAATTTCTCTATGTCCGCATATCCATATGTCTATATCACAATTGTACTTTAATTAAAGACACATCCAACACATACTCGGGCAAAGATATATCTTCGATTCCGCCCAAGACATATCGCATATTGACGACATACAGCTGATCGCGCCCGTTTGGTCGATGATGAAAGCGTTGGCGCTATTTTCCTTGTACTTTTTTTATTTTCATCCTCTTATTTTCTACATATTTTCTGATATATATTTTTTTTGTTTTTCCTATGCGCTTCTGCTGCTTCTGTTTCGTTTTCGTTTCGCTTTCGTGTATATATAAAATAACAATGTTAAAAATAAATTCATCCAAACGAAATGAAACCAGCGGCAGAACCGAAATTATTGAACAACATTTTCTCTGATTATGATTGTTGTTGTGCGGGTGTGTGCCGATATGTGGGTGTGGGTGTGTGTGCCTATATGTGTTCGTACTGGTGCAAACTGAGCAAAATCCATTTTAGAGCACACCATAAATGTCCGCGTCACTTTTGGTTGTTGTTTCTCCGCTCCCTCACACAGCCGATATATGCCATGTATTCTTTTGAGTGACCCAAAGATAGCCGGAAAATCGTAGGAAAGCTTAGAGGAAATGCTTGATAAACCCTAGGAATGATGATGTTTGGGGTGGGTGAACAATGTTTTAATATTTGTAATTATTACCATGGGATATAACATGATTTGCACAAGCCCATAAATTGTATATTATTAAATGTTTTCTAGCTCGTTCTTTGTGAATTCCAATATCCATGTCTAAGTGGTTTTTGGGTCCACCCGAATCATCCATGAATACTCTTTTAGATGGGGAACATATGCACGGATTGCCGTCGACCGATATTGCTCTCAATTCGGCAGCATGAAACACCGCCCCATCTCGATGTTCTTGTGCGTCCTGGAGGCGGTACGGCGTACAGTGCGGCGGACTCAGACCGAGCAGATATATAGAGCGACCTATAGATATGGGAAAACAATACTCGATGGAGCGCATATCCGAAATTATTTCTGGTCTGGCAAGTGGACACAGCTAGCGACAGATATTTGCGGATTCGATTTAGCATTTTTGGTTCTTGCATATAGACTTGGCCACTTGTCTGCCTTTGGCGACGACCAGCCGACCGATTGCAGGCAGCACGTGAATGACTAAATATTAAATTATGGGTTCGATAGTGTCTGCTGAAATTCGATAGGATTCGCCCAATATGCGCATGGAAAATTCCATGCTACCATCTCCAGAGTGGCAGGCCTCTGTGTATCCATCGCTGGTGATACTAAAAATAAATCTCGCCTGCACCACTCCAAACCCTAACAATCGGGAAAACTTTTCCCTGGCCATTAACACAAATTAATGCATTCCAAAAATCACACTCCGAATCGAAATTGTGTGTTTATATGCGTTCGCCTGACCTGATTTCAGGCTGCACTGCGACTGGGACTGGAACTGGGAGTGGGAGTGGGGCTGGGAAGGATCACCAAGTGGCCAGGCAAAGTGTCGATGTTGGTCAGAGTGGCAGATGAGCCTGTGGCAGCTGCTGGACGGTGGTCAGTGCTGAAGCTGTTAATGCGCTAAACAAATCAATGGTCATCAATGATTCCGATTAGGCCTATTAAGGGATTGTGGCCAACCCTTTATTATGTCCCTCTTCTTCCCTTCTTGTTTTGTGTGCGTGCGCCTGCGAAAATCCAATAAATCCTGAAATGCATGTGGCAAACTAATTTGAAATTAATTCACACAGAGAAACTGGGGGAAAATAATATTCTTCATCAGCAACCCCGCCAATGCCAAGCCACTTTGATAAACTCTGTCAATTGCCAAATTGGCAACTTAATAAAAATTCCGCTCAAATTCATGGGAATCCGGAGCATTTTAAACGTGCAAAAATAGGGTGGGCCCGGGGCCAGCTTTCCCAGCAATCCGAAATCCCAAATCCCTCATCCACGGCCATGTACCGGCTCTTGTTGCCTTGGCTCTGGGCGAAACTCCGGCTCCATCCTCGCCTTTCATCGCCATCGTCTGTGTGCATTCCGCTTGAGCTGTCAAATGCGCATCGCAGCAGTATCCCTCCTGAATCTGAATCAGAATGTGAAGCCAAAGCCTCATCCTCGTCCTCATCCTCATCCTCGTCCTGCGACTGTGTGATGTGGTGGCCACTTTTTGTCACCCAAACCTTTGCCAGCTCAATTGCAATTTGTTTTCGTTGATTCCCAGCCTCGACCTCAGCTTGGTGTTTGTTTAGGTCCTTGGTGTGGGTCTGGTGGGGGTGATTTTTGGGAGCAGGACATTTTCGCATTGAGTAATTCACAAATGAATCCCTTTAGTGCTGGCAATTGGCGCACGTGCACTAAAACAACAAGGCGGAATCGCTGCCAGGATACGTGGTCATTATTAAAATTCCTTGAACCCGCCACTACTGGTGACATCCGCACCTTCG